AAAGGAGATTGAAGAAGATATCAGAAAATAGAAAGATATCCCTTGTTCTTGGGTAGGAATAACCAATATAGTGAAAATGGTGATACTTCCAAAATTGTTATGCAGATTTAATGTGATCCTGACAAAAATTCCAACAAATCTCACAGTATTAGAAAACAGTCCTAAAACTCTTTTGAAACTGGAAGAGATCTAAAATAGTAAAGGCAATTTTGTCAAGAAAGGCAAGATGGGTCATCACAATCCCTGACTTGAAGTTATACTACAAAGCTACTGTGAAAAAACCATATGGTGCTGGCAAAAACAAAACAAAACCAACAAATAGACCTGAGGATCAGTTGAACACATTAGAAGATGCAGAAACAGCTTTACATATACTCATCTACCTTATCTTTGACCAAGAAGTCAAACACTTTCACTGGAAGAATGATAACTTCTTTAATAAATGGTGCTAGAAAAACTGGCTTTCCTCATGCCGAAGATTAAAAGTAGATTCATATATTTCACCATGCACTAAACTAATATTGAAATGCATCAAAGATCTAGGTATTAATAGATTTGCTGGAAGATAGAAGAGGTAGACCTCTTGAAGATTTAGGTGTAGGGAAGATTTTATGATCAAAACCCCAGCTGCACAGGAACTATCGGAAAGAATCAAATGGGATTTCATCTTATTAAAAAGCTTTTATACAGCAGGAGAAATCACCACCAGAGTAGAGAGACAACCCACAGTGTGGGAATAAGTTTTTGTCATCTGTTCCTCAGACAGAAGAATATTATCTAGAGTACATAAAGAAAAAAAATCAGACCTCCCCCACATTTGAAGACCTAATCCAAATTTGGGCACAGACACTTCTCAGATGAAGGATTAAAAGTAGCACATAAATACATGAGAAAAATGTTTAACATCACTAGTCATTTGAGAGAGGCAGATGAAAAGAACCCTGATGTTCCATTTTAACCCAGAAAGGATGGCTGTCAGCAAGAAATCAACCAATAACAAATGCTGGTGGGGCTGAGGAAAAAAAGGAGCTCTTCTCTACTGTTGGTGGAAGTGTAGACTGGTGCAACCACTGTGGAAATCAATGGGGAGACGCCTCAAAAAAACTAAATTAGAGATGCCATTTTACCTGGTTATTCCCCTTCTTGGTATCTTCCTGAAAGAAAGCATCATACCACAGTGACAGATACATGCACACCTTTATTTGTAGCAGCACAGTTTTTAATAGCTAAATCTTCAGAACAGCTCAAATGCTCATCAAAAAATTAAGCTAGGGCTGGCCAGATAGCTCAGTGGATTAAAGCGCCTGCTTAGGCAGACACAGGGACTGGCGTGCTGTACGGGTCCCACCCCCAGGGCTCACTGCGATGGTGATTGAGACTGGGTATGGTGGTGCGTGCCTGTAATCTCAATACTTGGAAGGCTGAAAATAGGAGGATCACTACAAGTCCAATCTATGTAATCAGACCCTGTAGCCCCTGTACTAAATATATTTAAAAAAGAAATTAATAAGATTTTTTTTCATACAGTGGAGCACTACTTTGCCATAAAGGATAGGCTTGAGACATAGCTAAATGGATGCACCTGAAGACCATACTCTTAAGTAAATTGGACACACAGGTGTAAATAGCATCTGAGAAACCAAAAATGTAAATAAGGACCAGAATGTATAATAGATATTGAGAAATAGGAAGAAAAATTTCAAATGTGAACTGGAACAAGGGGGATGGAACAGAAGGGAGAAGAAAAAAGGAATAGGAGAAAATGGTAGCAAAACTTTTGTAAATAAAAAGGAGAAGAGGAGTTGAATGGAGTTGAAAAGAATGGGAAAGAAAGAAGCAAGGTATGTCACAGACAGGTACAAATCCCCTGTGATGAAGGTTACCACTATGTATATCTAAAATTACCCATTAAAATAAAGGGGGGGAACCAAACCAAAAACTCAAAAGTAGCCAATTGTGTACAATTCCATTTGTATAGAATATGTATAATAGGTAAATGAAATAGAAACCAGATTAGTGGTGGCCAAGGTATGTGGAAAAAGATAAATGAAGGCTAATTGTTTTAATGTTCTTGGGCCAAGTAAGAATTCAGAAATTAGATCATGGTAGTGCAACTGAGAATAAAAAAAAAACTCTAAAAAGTGAAAAACAAAACAAACACTGAATTGCACATTACAAAAGATGAATACTTGACATGTGAACCCTCTCAGTGATCTATTACTAGTTTTTTCTCCGCCTTCCCTGTACTGAGGATTAGAATTAGAGCTTTCCCCTGAGCTAACGCACACCCCCTTTTATGTTGCATTTGGAGACAGCATTGTAGTTGCCCAGGTAGGCCTCTTGGTCTTTCTGCCTCAAAGCCTCCGGATGGCTGGGATTATGGGCTATGTCACTAGGCCTGATGTGCTAATTTTTTTAAATCACATATTAAGCATAAAGACCAAAAGAAAGAATTTAAGAGGATGGAGATACCATTCCTACATCTGGACTGCTGGAGCTGAGTGGCCCTTAGGGAAGAGCAGGGCTTAGATACAGAGCTGTTAGACAAGAATTCAGTCAGTTCAGCCTGGAGCAAGGCAGGAAGTCAGGGCTGTCTCTGGGAGGGATGTTGTAATGCAGTGCCATGCTGTGGTACAAAGCTGGGAAAGACTCAATCCAAGACTCCACTAGACTGCAGGGTGGCCTGCAGACCTGCAAGGCCAGTGTAAGAACTCCCTGCTTTCCTTGCCCTGCTCCTGAAACCCGTAGCGTGGCTTAGAAGGCTTGGCAGGAAGACGTGTGGCAGGGCTGTTTAGAGTGCACTGGTGTGGTGCCTATCTGGACAATGTAAGAAATGTTTCCTCTTTGAAGCATCTGGGAATGCTGTGGTTTTGTTCTGGCCTTCTGGTAGCTTCTTGGTGGACTTGCAGGCCTCATACACAGACATCACTTATCACTTGCCTCTGTCTCCAGGGAAATGTGAGTCCACATTACTGGAAAAGCCGCACCATTTACCCAGTCCTCACTGTCTGCATTTTTGTGGTTGATGCTTGTTTTCTCTTTCCTTCCTCTCCTTTTTCTGTCTTTCATTTCAATTCCTAACTAGGTTTACTCCCTCCCTTCCCTTTTTATTGCAGTCTTCTGATAGTTTAGCAGGGAAAAGGTTCCTGGTACAACAGAAAGAAAGCTTAGTAGAAGGTGCATAAGAGGAAGTAGGTTGTGGGAACCTTTTCATGGTGTATGTGTGTCTGTAGATATTAATGTGCAGGCTATGTTAAATATTTTAACAGGAAATATGCTAGAAATGGAAGTCTTTTTAGAAAGGAAATTTTGATGTGAAAGGCTCACCATGCACTCATTCCAGCCAAGAATTTGAGAGCTTGTGAGGATCTCATCAGCCCCGATTGGGTCTTCCCATTAAAGTCTCTTGTGCGATTTCCATGTCTCCTGTCTTGGTGTCTTGAATAGCAAACTCATGCTGACATTGCACCTTACATACTGGAGTATGAAAAGGTCATCACATTCCCAAGCTATAGGAATTGTTACATTTTCCATGGTTCACAAAGAAGCAATCTTTATCCCCATCACCTGATTTATCATTTTTTACCAGACATTCCTTTGACCCAGGTTTACAGTGAAATCCCACCATGTGGGTAGGGACATTTGACAACTTGCCATTGGCACTTTCTTCAAGATTAGATCTTTCAAAGAGAGGTGCATGACTTCAGTTAGCTTGTGGGTACAAGGTAGGTGGTTAAAGGTGTTCTTCCTCTTCTTTGAAGGGATCTGTCAGGCAGGCTCATACTCTGGGGTGGGACTTGGTAGCTGGCCCTGCAGGAGGAGGTGGAGAGGTTCTTCATCCCAGTAAGGCAGTTAGTGGGAAGGGCAGCTGGGGGTGTGCTCAGCCTTCCTGAGGCCCTGAGTACCATCCCCAGCACCGGTGATAAATTGTGAGACCTGATAGTAACGACAGAAGCTCTGTTTTCTGAGAGGACAGAGCAAGGCCCACTTGGAAACCACACCTGGACAGGTTTAGGGTCACTGGGTCAACCTCTGCATCTGTGCTCTGTCACCGTTTTTTGAGCTAAGGTGTTTCACCTTTGTGTGGCACAGTTTTGCCAATGTAAAACGGGCTGGCCAGGGAGATCTAGGTAATAAATTCGTGGAGAAAGCCATGTTGTGTGCCTCATTAATGTCATCCTGTGGAGACTTGAGATTTTTACCATTAGTATTTTTGCTAATGGTATGTTAAGTATGTGTAAAGCAAGAGGTGGAAATGTCCCTTCTGGCATCAATCCAGTTATAGAGCTATAACTACTACAGGTGTACTCTTCTACTTGGCAAAACCCGGCTCAGTGGACGTTCAGACTGCACATCGCCTGCAGTGACAAGCTTATGCATGAGGTGGCACTGTTTCCCCACCAGTCAGTGTTGGGTTACACTTTACTTCCTGCCCCACCTCCGCACAGAAATTGGACCTACCTTTGCTGTGTGGAAGCCTGCTGCCTGGCCAGGCGCCACTGGTACAGCACTGTGGACATGCATACTGGTCCGCAGTCTCAAGAGGAGACCTGAGTTACAGTAACAGAATGGACCCACTTTTGTGTTGTTTTGCGGTGCTGAAAGTGGAACCCAGAGCCCTGCATATGCTAGGCATGCTATTCTGCCAAGCTGCATCCTCAGCCCTTTCCTACTTTTGAAGACATTTATTTAAAAAAAAAAACAAAAAACAAACTTTAAATGTTTCAGCATGCTTTTATATTTTCATCTTATTTGATTTTAGGTCTCACATATTTAAGAATCTTATAGGCCCTGGTTCCTCACACAGGACCCAATATTTTCTTCCCCATACTGGTTACAGTACCAGGGAAACTACTCAGATTGAGCTTCATTTTTGCTAGTCCTCGGTCAGTACTGCTAGAGTAATCATTTCCTCCTCTTGGTCAGACACTAGACAGCCATTTTCACAGATGTGATCATTCTCTGCTTCATACAAATTGTTCTGTTTTGTTTGTTTTTAGATCCGGGGATTTCTGTCACGGTTTGATAATGTCCTTCCTGTCAGCCTGGCGTTTGACAAATGTACAGCTTGTTCTTCCAAAGTAAGTCATTTTACATTTGAGAGTTTTTAAAGGGAGTCCATCAGCATTTAACCTCAGCCATGCCAGTTAGAGTCACTGAAACCAGTGTGCTTGTTTTCAGTTGTCCATGTCCTTCTCCTGAGAAAGCAGCCTGACCACATCTGATTTCTAGTCTGTAGAGAGCTACTGAGCTACATGTTTTAACTGTGCATCAATACTTACATCATGGTAATTTTGACTTGGACTTGAACTTGCCTGATCTTTGTTCTTCCCCAGAGCATTTGTTCCTTGCATGGACCTCAAAGAAGAATTTTTAGTTTTTGTTTAGTTTTGTTTGTATTGTTTCGTTCTGAGGTGCCGAGGAGGGAAGCACAGCCTCACTCATGAATGTTAGGTGTAATCTACCACTGAGGCCCAACTCGAACCCTCTTCAAAGACCAAAATTTAGGCTTGACTCCAAAGGTGGGGATACCAGGGAATCCTGGCTTTGTCTTTTGGAGATCTACATAATGACAAAAGAAAAGTAAATAGAGATTAGGGACCAGGATAGGGAGCCAATAAAAGGGCCCTTCAGCTTTGATCTTTCCAGCTGCTCTAAAAATAGAGCTGGTCTGCTGCCCCTTGTAATAGGAACCGGCTGATCCATTTCCAAACTGTAGTGATGGCAGCTCCCTTTTTAACTGGCTCTGAGATGCCTTCTGAGTCATGCTTATATGTATACTGTGTGTGACAGATTTCCTTTTGTGTGTCCTTTTAAGCCTTCTCACACTCAGTAACTTAACCTGAGTTAAGTTACTTTAAAAACTCCTCATTCTTGGTAGGCAAAGATTTTTTTCCTTAAATTGCTATGCAGAATCAGTTGGGATCTCTGGTCTCCAAGTCTCCATTACTATCTAAAACACCTCTGTTTTGTACCCTACCCCTGGCCCATGGAGGTGAATTCTAGGGAAGTTGTCTCCTCCACATTGATGGGCTCCTGTTAAAAACTGTAGGTTTATTTTCTGAGAAGCACTCTGAAAACAGACCTCAAATTTAATGACCTGTGTTAATAAATTTGGTTAAATTCAGGTCCTCAAAAGTGAAGAATAACAGTTTTTTTCTACTTTGTTTGAAAGTAAAATAAACCTCCCTTTTATTGTTATCCATCCCAAGTTGCCTTCGTTGAGATTTTGAAGCTTATTCTTTGCCGTTAATGACCCACGAGTTCATTCTTCCTGTAGTTTCTAGTTTAAAATATCTTATCCACCCAAGCTGGAGCCTCAAAGGAGTTTGCATGAACTTCTGTCTTGAGAAATGCAAGTTTAAGGATTGTGTGCTCTTTATGGAACTTATTTTTTCTTTGTATGGCTGAGCTAATTGGTCTTAAAATAGCCGAATAGTATTAATTTTCATACTGAACTCGTTTGGGTCAGGTGCCAGAAGTTTTTCTATGGCTTTATGTAAGTCCAGCTCATCAACAAAATAAAGATAATTGGATTCTCTAAGTGAGATGCAAACATCCATTCTCTCTTATTCTATTTCTAATTAAATTAGCCCATATGATACTGTTTATGAAGGAATCACAAGCATACCAGCTGACTAGGGTCCCTGTGTGTTTTAAAAGATAATAGCTTTGCCTTTTCCTTCCTTGCTTATTGGAAGCATTAAATTATACATAGGTATCACGTTTTTGTCAGCAAATGATTTCCTCTTGGTGGTCATTCTGCGAGTCCTGCTCTACATAAACACGCTTGCCAATTTAATACAAACCAACTTGGATTTTAACAGCTGTGCTCTTCCCACAGCGATCACTTTTCATGTGGGCCAGGGATTGAGTTTCTTTTGTGCTGGAAAGGTTGCTTCATCAGTGCCTGTATTTCCTTACAGTAGAAGTGCAGCATTTACTTACTTGGCTACCTTCTTTATTTGCCCAAGAGAATGTCATTTTCTATCATCTGCAAACCCAGTATTAATACTTTGAAACAACACATCCAATTACATTTCCATCTCCCAGCTTGCGCCTGTTTTCTCAGTGCATACCTAGCTTGATACTTCTTACAATGAGTCATATCATAGTTGTCACTGTTTCAAAATGAGGTTTTTTAAGCTAAAATTGGCTTTAAAAGTTTTCTTTTTTGATATCCACGAAACAATTGTTTTCTTTGGTACAGTGGTACTTCAGTTCATGAACTTAATTCTTTTCACAATTCTGATCACAAACCAAATTGATGAGAAACAAATGAAATTTAGTGGTTAGGTTCACTGTTGGCCCTGTGTGGAAATTTGATTAGGTTCAGGACCAATTCAGTTTACAATCAGAATCTTTGGAAAGAATTTAAATTCATGAACTGAGATACCACTATAGTTGAGATTTGTGTTTTTTCCTCTAGGACCAAGGTCATCCTTGTCTCTTGGCTTAGCTATAGAGTACTAATGCTCTTATTATTTGCCCTGATTATGAAACAGCAATAATGTAGGATATAGATCTTTTCAATAACCAAAGCTAGGAAAGAGTATAGCTCTCTGCTTGTATGTCAGGAAAGGCCAAGGTCAAATCTTCTACCCAAAAAGCATTTCTTAGCCTGGCTGATCTTAGCTTAACAGACAACCAGGTGAATTCTTCCATTTAATAAAAAAATGATGTGGGAACCCTGGGCACACTGTGCCATCCCTGAAACTGGGCAGAATGGCACATGCCTATAATCCCAGCACTGGGGAGGCTGAGACAGGATCACTGCGAGTCTGAGCTGCATAGCAAGACCCTGTACCAAATAAATAAGAAGGTAAAAAATAAACACTTTTTTAAAAAAATTGAAGAATTTCAGAAGGTAGCAGGTGTTGCAGAGTTACTTTCATTTTAATTTTTTTCCCCTTTTTTAATGTATTTAGTACAGGGTCTACAGAGTCTCACTACACAGATTGGACTCATAGTGATCCTCCTGTTTTCAGCCTCTCACATGCTGAGATTACAGGCAGGCACTACCACGCCCAGTCTCAATCGCCCTTTTAGCGTGCCCAGTGGCTGGGGCCTGCACAACACACAGAGGATTGAACCTAGTCCCTGTGTCTGCCTAAGCAGGTGCTTTAATTGCCCGGATTTGTTTATTTTCTTATAGATTTGTTTTCTTTTTTTTGAGACAGGGTTTCAATATGTGGTTCAGGCTGGCCTTGAACTTACTGTGTAGCCCATTCTAGCCTTGAACTTGCAGTGATCCTCCTGCCTCAGCCTATCAAATACTGAGATTATAAGCATGTGCCACCATACCTGGAAAAAACTTTCTAAAGTAATATCTGCCACTGGATTTTAAAAGAAAATTATATTTGAAGCTTATATGAGTTTTTGAATTTTTGCTTTATTTTTGGTTTTAGAAAGGAATCTAGAACCAAGTACAGTACTATAGAGTTCCTACTGGAGGGCAATATCATTTTGAAACCTGTGTTTCTCAAAGAGTGTCTCAGAAAGCACTGCATTAGTTTATTAGTATTAGCCTTTCACTTAAAATCTCTTGGTGGGTAAGCTATTTTTATATAATGTACACTTAGAAGTTGAAGGAATAGTATGAGAAACTGTAGCCTTCATCCAGGCCCCACCTTTTGTTTCCCATTGCCCCTGTGTTGTGCTCCCCTCCCTTCTGTGATCTAAGTAATTTTTTCTTGAAATTTTAAGAGTAAATTGGATACATGGTACTATGAGGTCCTTTCTAGCTGAATGCTTCTATGAAAGTTACCTGGGAAGAAGGGTATTCTCTTACCTGAATGTAGTGCACTTAGCATATTATGGCTGCCTGCTGTTCATGCCTTGCTGGGATCAATCCTCAACCTCTGTTCCTAATGTTTTCTGTACCCCTAGTGTTCTCTGGAGGCTTTTTTCTCTTCCTAGAACCAGGATCCAGTTTAGCGTCAAACTTTGCCTTTAGCTGTCTTGTCTCTTTGGCATCCGTCAATCTGGGAAACTTGCTTAGCTTTGTCTTTCATAACTTCAGCCTTTTGATACATTGCCAGGTATTTTTCTAGAATTTCCCTCAATTTGGACTTGTTTTCTTCTGATTAGATTCAGGTTCTGAATTTTTGGCAGGATACCAAAGAAATGATGTTGTGTGCTCATGTTGGGAGGCACATGATTCCTTTAATCCCCTTTGGTGATATTATTGTCCCCCTTTGCGTGTTTGTAACTACCTTTCCCAATAGGGGGAAACATGGGTCCCATTATCCTGGATGTATTTACTTCCTTGCTCAAGTTTAGAAGACACAGAAACTAGTTTCAAATAACTATTGTTTGAAGCAAGGTATAATTCCCCTATGATGAATGCTATCACTATGTATATATAAAATGTACCAATAAAAAAATTCAAGGAAAGAAAAAAAATAAAATCTGACTTTTCTATAAAAAAAAAAAAAGAGGGGCTGGAGAGATGGCTCAGTGGTCTAAAGCACCTACTTGAAACAAGCTTGGCAAAGCACAGGGACCGCGGTTCGATCCCCAGCACCACATGCCAGCCAGACCCGCCCCCTGGTGGGCTGAGCTGGCCACACACACACACAATAAATAAATGTAATAAATAAAAATAAATAAATATTTAAAATAAAATAAAATAAAATAAAGAAAAGAAAAGAAACTAGTTTCAAAATTTCTAGTCCCTACTACTACATAAAATAAACCTAGCCACTAGAGTTCAGTATGTGCACTGTTCTGTTGTTGTTTTGATACGGGGTCTTACTACGCAGCTCAGACTCATAGTGATCCTATCTCGGTTTCCCCAGCACTGGAATTACAGGCATGCACCATCATGCTCACTTTTGGTGGCCAGCAAAGTGTGAGACCCGCATGGTGTGTGGTACTGGGGATCAAACACAGGTCCTTGCACTTGTCAGGCAGGCGCTTAGACCACCGAGCTACCTCCCCAGCCCACATGGTTCTTTTTTTCTTATGTAAAATTTATACACATTAAAATACATGAATCCGAATTTTGTAAGTTTTGAAAAATGCATGCACTTGTACAAGCCACACTTCTCCAATTAAAATGCAGAGTCACCACTTCCAG